AAAAGTCGATATCTCAGCCAAATCTCAACTTGGGCGCGAACTAACTTAGGGTGTATCACTGCTAGCTATGTCCTATCTAGTTATCACATCCCCGGTTGGAAAGCTTTTTAGCACCTGAAAATGTTCCCTCGTTAGCATAAAATATTCGGCTGCCAAAATACATCTGGTTAGAATCAGAGTTTTTCACGATTTCTGACGATATACTCAGATTTTCTTTCTCAAGTAAAACTAAACAACTATCATTCAATTTTATGAAAAAATTTAACACTGTATTTCTACCACAAGTAAAATAGTACGATCTTTAGTCTGGAACAATTTCATTGAATTCTGTATAAAATGAAATATTACGGATAAGTGAAATTCGATTCATGCGTTTCTACTAAGGAAAGAGTTTCTATTAAAATCGATATTGGTAAAAAAAAAAACAACAACATTATTTTTTGAAAAACTACTGGTAAAAAATTAAAAAAACGATTTACAAATCTATTAGGAAAGATAAAATCGAAAAGTAAATTGCGCACTTTGTAAGTGAACCATTACAAAGTATTTTGCAGTTTAAAATTGATCGATTTCAATCCAGAAACAAAATTGACACTAAAGTAGTATTCTATATAAGTACTTTTTTTTTCACTTATTTCTTACTTTTCTCAAAAGTTTGATTTAACATGAAAAAATTATTATACGAAAGAGTTTTATAGACAAAAAAATGACTTGTTGATAAAAGAGAAAAATTTGAATCGCTATTTTTCCAGTCAGTTTTAGAGTCTATCGAGTTGCACGCGAATCCGAAAACTTCGTAACCGGTGAACTGGAGTCAGTTTATTATTACTATCTTTTTGTACTATAAGTGCATTTGGGACAATTTCTGTAGAAAAGGTCATAATCATTACTTTTGTTTTGTATAAATATGAAATACGAGAAAAAAAAATAACAATAATCTATACTATTTTTGAACATACAAGAACAATGATAGAATTACTGATATAATTTGAAGTATCGTTCTGCGATAAGATATTCCGCATATAATTGTTTAGTGTATTTACTATGTCTGTTGTATAAAATTAATCTCTTTAAGAAGAAGTAGATACTTACAGATGACATCTCTTCAATGATTTTATAAATTTGTAATAGTAATTTATTTGTTTCTCTTGAATAATAAAAAAAAGAAAATTCTAATAGGTCTAAATATATATCACTATTTTTATCTAAACTCAATGCTTTTATAATAAGCACTATATTTTAAACCTTGTGATACAATTTAATGATGTTCCGTTGGGAGATTCTGTTATTTTTGACCGATTTGTATTTCTCTACTATTACTAATCAATAATGAGGACAAATTCGCGTTTTTCTTTTCCGTGATTTAATTTAAAATAGTTCATAATACGGATATCAACTAATTGAATAATATTTTAGATCGTTCCTGTAACAACATCGAATATAGATGAAGATGATTGGGCAAATTTTGAATCACATCCAATACAATCTACTCGACACGATATAGAATTATCTAGTAATAAACAATCAACAAAAATAAATCATGATGATGATGTTTTTGGTGATTACGGTGAAGTACAAATCTCTCAACAATTTCAAGGATCTGCTATACCAATTGTAAGTTCATTTCATAATGAATATTAAGTTATTGAATGATCTTTAATTTAGAATTCTTTAAATATTGAATCAATTGAATCTTTAATCTCAACTTGTTTTCCATTAGAATCTTCGACATTATCTACAAATATTGATAAATATATTTCTTTTGAATTACCATCTTTTACTACATGTAAAGATCAAATTAAGCAATTACCATGTTTTAAACATAGTCTATCGTAAGTATTCATTTTACTTTATCTCTAAAATTAATTATTTATATATATATATATATCTAGTTTATGGAAATTATTATCAAATATATCAAATGACCCAATAGGAATTCAATATCAATGGCGTAAATCAAATATTGAACATACATTTCATCAAGCATTAGGTGTTCATGAACGATTTCGTGTATGTTTTAAGTAACAATTATGCATAATATTGCAAAAAACAAAAAATGAATAAATTCTAGACTAAAACTATTCCTGTAACTTCGGAAACTTCTCAATCAGAATCTCAAATAATAACTTCAAATGTTAATAATGAAAATAGAGTAATTTTATTTTGATGAATATAATCATATATAAAAAAATTCTTTTTTTTTTGACTAGTTATTATCACAAACTATTAATCCACATTTTGATTGGAAACAAAGTGGTCTAGAAAATCCACTTACTGGTAAGAATCTAATATTAAATTCTATGATAGAACATAGATAAAAGAATGCAGATAATTAATTATTCATACATAGATAACCATAGTTCATCTCTTTCAATAAATTTCAATCAGATTGAGGAAAATGGTAAGTTAAGTGTAACCAATCTAATCATACAGTAACTGTTTGTTAAAAAATGCACATACATATATATGTATATGAATTATTTTAATTAGTTAAATATTATTCTTTTTTTAAGTTTTCGATGTAAACAAAACACTCGATCTTGATTATTATATTCCTCCAATACAAACTTTAACATTGAATAAAGACGAACATATTACTTCTTCAACGATAGTACATCGAAATAATAGTCCAGTTATTCAACAACATACAACACCAATTAAAACAATTGATCTATTTCCAGGTTCAACAAGAGTATTAAATGATGATACTAAACCTATTGTTGATTCAGTACCAAATTTTAGTTTTATGAATCCAAAAGCATTAATGCTCCAAACAAAAAATTAATAATGATTCAACAACATTATATTGATCTGATTCTTTTGTTATTCAGTGATATTGTTAAATAAGAATTCTTATTTTGTTCACTTGTTTGTTATATGCAATTAAAAAAAAAACAACATATTAATGTGATATATTTTTTTGTACGATTCTTATCTTATTATTAACATAAAAAAAACAAAAACAAAATACAAATATACAAATACATATTTTATTTGTTTTCTTTGCGATACTGTTTAACGAGATTAGCCATTTCAAGCATGGCATCAGTGAGACCATCACCCGTAATAGCACAGGCAGATTGAACATACCATTTGTGTTTACCGTGAAGCTCATTCATACCTAATTTATGAATGATTTCAGCTGATTTCATCGCATCTATTAGAGAGAAAGTTTTTTTTTTTTGAAAAAGAACGAAAGAAAAATAATAGAACTTACTAGGTAGATCTTGTTTATTAGCAATAATAACAATAGGTACATTTGACATGTCAGGAACTTTGAGAATACCTTGAAGTTGTTCTTGTGCTTGTTGTATACGTTCTGGATCATTGCTATCAACAACGAATATAAGACCTTCTGTTCCTTGATAGTAATGATGCCAAAGACCACGGATTTTTTCTTGACCACCAACCTTAAAAAGAAAAGATATTTAGACTAGATTGAATATAGATTTGATAAATGAATACATACATCCCATACAGTAAATGATACACCACGACATGGACTAACTGTTTCGACATTAAAACCTAGAATGCATTAAAAAACAATACAAAAAATATTTTGTATACTTGTTATTATATACCAATAGTAGGAATCGTTTGAATATTTTCATCGAGTTTCACTTTATAGAGAATTGTTGTTTTACCAGCTGCATCGAGACCAAGCATTAAAATTCGGACAGGTTTATCTGTTCCGAATGCAGCTAAAGCATCATATATTCGACTAAGAAAAACACCCATGATTAATTGTTATCTAATAGATGAGATCGATGAATATTATTTTTGAAAGAAATTCATGATGAACGATCCGTATTTAAAGAAATTTAATGTATTGCCACGTTGATGTAGTTGTAATAAGAATCAAACGTGTCAACGATTGAGTCAGCTGTCGATTGTGTAATTCTTTTACCTCGACGACACGTTGTACTGCTATGAATCATTATTATTCTGATGAAATAACTAGCGAAACAGTTCAAAATTTTAATCTAGTAATCTTTCTATTACTTAAAGAATAATTAAAAATTTTTGTTTAGTTCTTTTTCAAAGAAGAAAATCAATTAGATTTGAAAGATTTACATCTAGAACAAAAAAATGTGAAATTTAACATGTTCAATCTATTGAAAACTAAATAATTATATATGATCATGTTACTTAGTGATTCTAGTATTTATTGTACTATTTATTGATAATTCATGATTATATTTTAAGTAAATAAGTTGAAATAAAAACTAAAGTATTTTTTGTTCATTATGCAGCATTGAACTTTTTTTTTGATTGTTCGATTATCGTTTATCTAGTAAAACGATATAGTTTATCAGAAACGATACTGAAGTGTTTTCGATTGGATGAGTTCGTAACAAAAAAGAAACAATCAGGATTGTGAAAATAATAGGTCTACGAAAGACGAATTTTATTTTGTCTATTAATATGCCTTTACTTTAAGACTACTCTCAGAAATAGATGTTACTATGTTATAATTAAAATCTAACTGAAAATAAAGAATAAATTGATTAGACATAGAATAATCGATTATTTGACTATTGAAAAGTTTATAAAATATTTCTTGCTTTTCAATAACACCAAACATAAATATTCGGGACGATATTTCATTAGAAAAAAATATGGATTATATACGTGTATATCATAAAATGATGAATGTTAATATTTTATCTATTCATCAATGTCTTTTTTCTTTCATCTACATATTAATATAAATCGTTATATCATCATACAAAATATATTCTTGTTTCAGATGAATCCGAACAGCAAAGCATTTTGGCCTCTTGTAGCAGCAGTTAGTCTTGGTGTTGGTTTTCTTGGTTACTGTGTTTATTTCGACCGGAAACGCAGAAGTGCACCTGAATTTCGTGAAAAATTAAAAGCTAGTTAGTATTATTAATTTTTGTGTATTGACTAAGATATCAAAATGAAATAAATAAATATGTTGTATAAAAATAATTAATATTTATTTAGAACGAAAGAAACAAAAACAAGGTACTGGTGGTTCAAACGAAAAATTCAACGTAAACATTTTTGTTTTACCTAAGATAAAGATAATAGAATGATTTATAATAGATTAATTCAAATGATCCTGAAGAAATGCGTCGTTATTTTCTCGAACAAATTCAACAAGGTGAAGATTGCTTATCTCGTGGTATGTATTTATGTGTTTTTTTTTTCTATTGGCATTTTTCAAATTTTTTCTCTCCTTAACAAAAAAAATCATATGTATAGGTGATCTTGATAATGGTGTTGATCATCTAGCAAAAGCTATAGCAGTTTGTAGTCAACCTCAAAGTCTGATGTCATTATTTCAACAAACATTACCACCTGAGTTATTTCAAGAAATCATTATGCGTTTACCACGAATTTCTCCAGTATATAAATTATTTGTTTTAAAAAAAAAATATATATTTGCTAATTTTTCTATTTTAGTCAATGTTTGGTACATCTTCATCAGCTTTCAGTGGTGCAACTATCACTGAACCAGACTTGGAATAGAATTATGAAAACAACAACAACAGCACTAAACACATTTGTTCTTGATTTTTTCTTACTTTCATTCAAGTTAGACTATGTTGTGTGTGTATCTCATCTCGTTTATTTATATTCGAGTATGAACAAATAAAAATACATCATACAACAAGAGAAATTTGTTACATTACACTTAAGCACAATAGATTTACTTAAAATTGAAGTAAATATTCAACTAGGAACTAAAATTCTAAAACAAATAATTCATTTACAAATCTATCAACATAAATAGACATTAGTTGAAATCAAAACATCTCTATAATAATAATTGACAAAAGGCGTAGATAAATATTATTAGTAGATTCTCATTTTTTTGGAAAAATATTTGCCTCAAAACTTTGCTCAATAAAGATCAGAGTGTAACAAATCCAAAGTAGATTTGGATATGGATTTACTTTTAGGTTCGATGCACAAAAATTATTTTTTCCATTTGCCAATCATTATCACATCGCAAACTATTTATTTAATTTTTGTCGAAGAGCATATCTAAATATCAAGGTTTTGATACTAAGTCTCTAAATTTTTCTTTGGTTTATTGCATATCAAATCAAAATCATAAAATATAGAGTCCCAAGACTTGGACTTTGTAGTACCTTTTTGGGCATTTATGATTCTATTATCGAAATTTACCACTTTGTTCATGAAAACTAGTACTACTCTATGATTCCAGACTATACATATTTAAAAGAAATCGATTTTGTTTCTTGCTATAATTAAATACGGTTGGGGTCACGCAAACTCTTAATTGGCATCAGACATCTTTATAACTTCAGAATGGCAAGTGCAATAGAGGTAAAACATTTTTATATATGCTTACCGAATCTCAATATATGAACACAACTTCGTCTCAATACGATCTACTTCCTAGAAGCTACTATTTGGAGAAGAACATTGTAGTTTGATGTCATAATATGTATTTTTCATAGTCGATCTTATTGATAAGAAAACGATTCTTTGAAGTATTCATCTAATAGAATAAGTATTTACTCTTCAAGATATCTATTTAAAAGTATGTAGACTAGTATTCACATCGTTTAAACTGCAGTAAATACTATGCTCCCACGATTCTAACGCTTCACTTCATAATGACAAGATATATTAGTCCTTATCATAAATATATATTATTTATACGGTCCAAAATTTATTAGATGAAAGACTTTTATGTATAGCGGACCTGAATGAATTAGTTGTATAATAAAATGTCATTACAGAAGAAGTGATATTCAAATTTTCTGAATATTTTACATAATCTTTTCCACTGTACAATCGAGTAAACAGATAGATCTGATTGATAAATCTTACTTTATGGTATTTTATAATTAAATTTTAAAACAACTATAAGAAAATACTTCTTGTAACATATGTATCTTATATTGACCGAATCAGCTGCTAATTTTGAATAAAATCTCTATAATACCTCAACTATAATCGATGATTGAACAATAGACAATAAATACTCTTAGAAATGTTTTATTTTTATACATTATTTATTAAAAAATTTTTCTTCTGCGTACATGATAACCAATTATATCAATATGCGACCAATAACGCGATCGAACAGCACATGAGATATGATAGTATTAAAGCGAAACGTGAGCCATCAATATTACGGAAATATCGAAAACAACTTACTTCACCTTACTTTATTTGATGAGACATCGTAAACCATTAGTATATGCGATTGAATCTTTTTTTCATTACTTTTTCCGTACTTTCTCTGCAATCGAAACAGATCACTGACACAACTCTTACAGTAAACACACGAGTTACAATACACTTCAAATATTTACCAATACTTCCACTATCATCGCCATCAATACAATCAGAAGTCATATCAATATCATCACAAGAATTCTATAAATTCGAACCATTAGCTGGATTCCAATAGTTACCATGACATGAACGATTGATACTAATCAAAATACTGTAACATTTGACGATCAATAAACAGAAAACAAGATTTTGTTGCCCTAACTAAAAATTATTCATTAACTATTCCATGAGTTTTTTCAATGTATGTTCTCTATCATTAGTAATGCACAATGACAGGTATCGCTTCGTAAATTTCCTGGTGATGTCGAACAAAAAAAGTTGTGGTAGTCAAGAAGAATTTTACGCTTGAAAAAACAAATCATTCTTGAAATTCATGGTTTGAACTACTTTTCATTGAATTAAAATCTTAAAGAACCGAAATATTGAATATCATTCATTTCTAAACATAAAATGCAGACATCTACATAATAGCATATCGGC